AGAAGAGAATGCCAAAAAAAGGTGTTTTCTTGTGCTATATTGACTATGCAAAGGCATTTGACTGTATGTCATAACAAACTATGGATAACCTTGGAAAGAATGGGAATTCCAGAACACTTAATTGCGCTCATATAGAACCTGTACATGTACCAAGAGTCAGTCATTTGAACAGAATCAGGGGATATTGAATGAGTTAAAATCAGGAAAGGTGTGCATCAGAGATGAACCCTTTCACCATACTTATCCAAACTATTTGCTGAGCAAATAGTCTGAGAAGATGGATTAAATGAAAAAGAACTTGGCATCAGAATTGGAGAAAGATTTATTAACAACCTTTCTTGCTGGAAAGTGACACACACTTTCTTGCTGGAAGCAAAGAAGACTTGAAATACTTACTGTTGAAGATCAAAGATGGCAGTCTTCACTATGGCTTGTACCTCAATGTAAAGAGAATGAAAATTCTCACAACTGGATCAGTAAATAAAATCATGATAAATGAAGAAAAGATGGAAGTTGCCAAATATTTCATTTATTTGGATCCACAATCAACTCTCAAGGAAGCAGCAGTCAAGAAATCAAACAATGTATTATATTGGGCAAATCTGCAGCAAAAGACTTCTTTAATGTGTTAAAAAGCAAAAATGTCACCTTAAGGACTAAGGTGCCTGTGTCCCAAGCCACAGTACTGTCAATCTACTCATATGCGCTTAAAAACTGGACAATGTATAAGAAAGACTAGGGAAGAAATGATGGCTTTGTATTATGGTCTTGGTGAAGAATATTGAAAGTATCATGGACTGCCAGAAGAATAAGTGAATCTGTTTTGGGAAAAGTATAGCTGGATTACATCTTAGAAGCAACAATGATGAGGGAACTGCCTGAAATTCAAGTGAGATTCAGAAGATAACATGGGATGAGGGGCATCATTGCTTATATCAGGTGGGCCATTGCTGAAAGCAGAGAAGATCAGAAAAATGTATACCTGTTTTGTTGACGATGTAAAGGCATTAGATGGTATGCACTATAACAAAGTGTGGATAACATTGTGATGAGTTGGAATTCAAGAACACTTAATTCTGCTCATTTGCTCTTGTGCACAGACCAAGAAGCAGTCATTCATTCAAACAGAACAAAAGGGCACAGAGTGTTTAAAGTCAGGAATGGTGTGCATGAGGTTGTATCCTTTCACCATACTTATTCAAACTGTATGCCAAGCAAATGATACCAAAAAAAAAAAAAAAAAAAAAGTCTGTATGAAGAAGAATAGGGCATCAAGATGGGAGGAAGGCTCATTAATAATCTGTGATAATGCAGATGGCAAAACCTTGCTTTCTAGAAGTGAAGAAGACTTAAAATACTTACTGAGGAAGAACAGTAAATATTATATACTATACCTCACTATAAAGAAAACAAAATCCTCACCACTGCACCAATACACAATACTATTAGCATAGAAAAGACTGAAGTCATCAAGAATTTCGTTTTACTTGAATCCACATCAATGCCCATGGAAGCAATAGTCAAGAAACCAAAGAACATATTGCCTTGGGCAAATCTGCTGCAAAAGACCTTTTTTTAAATGTTAAAAAGCAAAAAGGTCACTTTGATAACTAATGTGCAACTAACTCAAGTCAGGGTATTTTCAATGGCCTCATGTGCATGAAAAAGCTGGGCAATGAATAATGAAGACAGAAGAATTGAAGCCTTCAAATTATGTTGTTAGTAAAGAATACGGAAATGACCATGAGCATGTTATCAGAAGGGACCAGTCCCTGGAAAAGACCATCATGCTTGATAAAGTAGAGAGATGAGTGAAAAAGAGTGAAATTCTTAAGACAATGGGCTCCAACATAGTTAATGATTATGAGGACAGTGTTTTTGTTCTGTTGTACAGAATCTCTGAGTCAGAACCAACTCAAGTGTACCTAACAATAACAACAAATTGATTCGTGAAATGACATAATATTGTGATTTAATTACTATTAATTTGTACAACCTTTCAATACTTCAATTCTCCAAAGTTATCTATCACTATTCAATTAGTACAAATTAGGTTTACATTTGCATCCTACTCATTGTCAATGTGGCATTGTCATGTTCTTGTAAATATATTTTAGTAGGCTCCTTTTCTCTCTACTCTTTTACCCAACCAAACCTGACAGATACAAACACATTTTGTCTAACTATCAGATTAGTCTACTGTGAATAATTTCAAATTCAATTTTAATTTTTTACAAGGAAAAATAAAAATGTTAGTTTTCCTTCTCATTTCCAAATGTTAGCTTGCAAATTTACTTCATTAAAAACCCAGATTATTTCAAACATGTTCTATAATTTAAACCAATGTATGACTGGTACTTTCAATTTAACATGATTCAAATTAACCAAATTAATTTCTTCCTGTTTCAGTTCTTTAACTAGCAACATTTAACAATGTAGAGAACAACCTTTCAGGATCTATTTAATTTACTATCTTCTATATCAGGAGCTCTGGTAGCGTAGTGGTTACGAATCGAGCTGCGAACCTTAAGGTCAGCGGTTCGAAACTACCAGCTGCTCCACGGGAGAAAGATGAGACTTTCTACTCCCGTAAAGATTTACACCCTCGGAAACCCTGTACAGGGTCGCTATGGGTCGGAACCGACTCGACGACACTTAACAACAAACATATCAAGACTAATGAGCTCTGTTAGTGTAGTGGTTACGAATCGGGATGCGAACCTCAAGGTCAGCAGTTTGAAACTACCAGCTGCTCCACAGGATAAAGATGAGGCTTTCTACTCCCGTAAAGATATACAGCCTCAGAAACCCTGTTCAGGGTCGCTATGGGTCGGAACCGACTCGTAGGCACTTAACAACAACAACATATCAAGAATGGAGTCCTGGTGTGACGCTATGGGTTAATGCACCAGGCTGCAAAGCTGTTTGAACTGCAAGGTCCGCGGTTCAAGCTCACCAGACGCTCCTCAGAAACTCTGTACAGGGTCGCTAGGGGTCGGAACTGAGTCGATGGCACTTAACAACAACAACAACACATCAAGAACAAACTAATTGAAATTGTCCTTGTGTTTTGTTGTAGATTAACTGTATTGTAAAAGCAGACTTTTTGCCCTGACCTGTGAATAGGGCTGCATAAGAATATTGCCAAATGTTTTATAAAATAAATAGCAACATTAATTGCTTGACAAATGTGCAGATCCTTTTCTAAATATCGTTGGGTAACGTTTCACTAAGGGCTTTGAGCAGTAGGCCAGCTTTGGTCTTTTATCCCTTAGAAAGGTGTCGCTGTTGTTCATTGTCATCAAGTGGCTGTGACTCGTAGTGAGCCAATGTAAAAAAGAAGGAAAAACTGCCTGGTCTGAGCCATCCTCACAGTCACTGCTGTGTTTGAACACATTGTTGCAGCCACTCTGTCATCCATCTTGTTGAGGGCCTTCCTCTTTTTCACTGATCCTCTACCAAATGTCTATTTGGGGTATGTTCGGTATAGTATAGACCCTGGGTGCCACTTGGGGGAGGAGTTTCCATGACTCTGCTCACCATAGCCATTTCCATCCTCAGCTGTGAAAGGTCATTTAGCAATTTTACCTGATCGCTTTTCCATTTATGCAACTCTGTCCTCTACTTTATAAGCACGATTTGTATCTCCAAGGATTAGCCTTCCTGATAACATGTCTAAACCATGTGAGACAAAATCTCAACATCCTTGTATTCTGGTTGTCTATTTTCCAAGAGCGATTTGTTTGTTTTTCTGACAGTCCATGGTATATTCAATATTCTCTACCAACAGCACAATTCAAAGGCATCAGTTCTTCAGTCTTCCTTATTCATTGTCTTGTTTTCATGTGCTTATGAGATCATTGAAAACCCCATAGTTTGAGTGGGGCTTACTTTAATCCTCAAGATGCTTTCTATAATTAGCAAGACGTTTATGGTGGTATTAGTCACTGTTATATCAATTCCCACACATGGCCACCCCATATGTGCAGAATACAATGGTGCCATAGGTTCCTCAAGGCTATGACCTTTCAGAAGCAAATCTCCAGGCCTGTGCCTTGGAGTAGGAACTGCCACATTTTCAATTAGCATTTAAGCACTTAACTGCACCAGTCAAAAACTTTAGTTAATTAGATTGTAAGTAAATATCATGGGATATGTCTACACACAGCTTCTCTCTTTAGGCCCTCAGCTACTGGTTTAAGTAACTCCCCATCCCAGTTAGGATGATGGATTGGACAACTTGTGGTCTACATGTGTGGAATTCAGCATTCTGCCTTACCGCAATGAAAAGTGGCCTGTGCTGGCAAGAGTCATAGCATACTAATAATTAATGTTCCTGTTATCTCTAGATCCTCTGAGCAGTTCCATTTTCCTCAGGAAACCTACCTACTGGCAGTGTTAGCAAAGGGTGCTAGCTGTAAGCACTAGAAGAATTGTTTCCCTACCATACACATTGAGTAACAAAGGAAATTGTAGAAACAGAACAGTTCATTATTACTGTATTTTACCATCTATGTTCATCATCATTTTATCACTTTATGTTACCAGAGACCAGGAACAAGTATTATGTATCTTGCTTATCTCCCAGATCAACTGATATGTTATCTATGGCATAGAAGACAATAAATGTTAGTTAATGCATTAGCTGATTGATTATAGACCACAGGAAGAATTTTTAATATCATAGTAATGAATTATGTGCACTGCTTCAAATGTCATGCGGAACCTTTGTCAGCAGTTTTTTTAAAAGTAGTAGAAATGTTATCTTCCAAAGTCAGGTGAGAGCATACGCCTAAGGACTGAGTGGACAAAGTTGTTAATTATCTTGAATTTTTATTGAATTTTAAATATCTACTTGGGCCAATTCTCTTCCTTCATTTCCAGAAAATTGTTTTCAAGCTAAATGCTTTTAAATCAGTGCTTGAAGAATCCTATGTAAGTAATAAATACAGATCAGCTTGATCTTCACTGAGTATTAACAGTTACTTTTTCTCTCAAAGGCAGAACTGAACCGTTTCCAAGATACAAAGAGACTCCTTCAAGATTATTATAAAGGAATGGAAAGCAAAATCCCCATTGAAGACAATAGGAAATTTACTCGAGTCCCATTGGTCCAACTGGATAATAAAGACATTTCAGAAAGCCAACTTAAGTAAGCAACCATGTTCCATTGTAATTGCTTTGAACATCAATCTTATGATTTAAAATTAAATATCACTATAAAATTCATAATCTTTTATCTGAAAATCCAAAACAACTCTAAAAAGTGACAAAAAAAAAAAAAACTTATATTGTAAATGTGTCCCATTTACAGTGAATATTTACCCATTTTCCATCAGAGATAAAATGTGTTTTATTATGGAGTACTTTCACAGGCTCTGCTAAAGATTTCAGATGATATATGGTAACTGAAAATTCTGAATTTGCTAACACTCTGGGTTCCAAGAGTTTCTTATAAAGTACTGTGCATCTTTACCAATTTCATGAAAAATCCCAAGCAACTCTTAATTTCTTATATATGCACATGTGGCCATATACCAATGCATATCTATTGTATTGTAGAAATTAAAGGATAAAGGTATGAATCTTCTTTTAAAAGTTGAGGACATTGAGAAAAAATTAAAACTGACTCATATGTGGTTATGGCTTTATGAAGCTGAAAAACTTAGTAACATCAATTCCTGCCCACACAAAAAAATGCAATTGATGATAAGAATGAAAAAAATTTTTTACATTCTTAGCCAAACATCCTAACCAATATAAAGGTATGTACATAATTGCTTTTATAAACCCAATAGCTGGAGATGTGGAAATAATAAGACCCTAAACCCTGAGATGCTATCTAACAGAGAAAAACATCTTCAAGACATGGAGGAAGAGATGGTGGTAGTAATTTCTATGATGTGGTTTTCCACTATGAAACATTAAAGAGAGAGCTAAAAACAAAAAATAAAGTAAGTCAATTTAAAGTCATTTAAAATCCATTCATTCATTTTAAAGAAAACAAAAATTCTCACCACTGAATCAAATTTACAAGTAAAATCAAGAGAAATGGAGGAAAGATTGAAGTTGTGAAATACTTCATTTTGCTTGGATCCACTGTCAACCCTCATGGGAACAGTAGTCAAGAAACCAAATGTCAACATATTGCATTAGGCAAATCTATAGCACAAGAATTCTTTATGGGTTCAACAGCAAAGCTGTCAGTTTGAGACTAAGATACACCTGACCAAAGTCATGATATTTTCAATAGAGGAAGATTCATTAACAACCTGCGATATGCAGATGATACAACCTTGCTTGCTGAAAGTGAAGAGAACTTGAAACATTTACTGATGAAGATCAAAGAACAAAGAACATAGCCTTTGGCATGGATTGCATCTCAATGTAAAGAAAACAAAAATCCTCACCACTGGACCAATAAACAACATTGTTATGAATGGAGAAAAGATTGAAGTTGTCAAGGACTTCATTCTTCTTGGATCAACTATCAACACTTGTGGAAGCAGCAGTGAAGAGATCAGACGATGTATTGCATTGGGTAACTCTGCTGCACAGAAACTTTTTAAAGTATTGAAGATCAGAGATGTCAGCTTGAGGACTAAGGTGCACCTGACCCAAGCCATGGTGTTTTCAATAACCTCATATGGATGTGAAAGCTGGACAGTGAATAAGGAAGATTGTAGAAGAATTGATGCCTTTGAGTTGTGGTGTTGGAGGAGAATACTAAAAGTGCCATGGACTGCCAAAAGAACCAATAGATCTGTTTTGGAAGAAGTGTAGCCAGAGTGCTCCTTGGAGGCCAGGATGGCTAAGCTTCGTCTCTCGTACTTTGGATATACTGTCAGGAGGGAACAGTCTCTGGAGAAGGATGTCATGCTGGGTAAGATGGAGGGTCAGAGAAAAAGAGGAAGACCCCTAATGAGATGGATCAGCCAGGTGGCATCATTGATGGCGTCAAGTGTGGCAGTGGTAGTGAGGTTGGCCCGGGATTGGACATTGTTTCGTTCTGCTGTGCATGGGGTCATTATGAGTTAGTTCCGACTTGATGGCACCTGACAACAACAACAACAACAACAACAACAACAACAACAACATATGCATGTGAAAGTTGGACAATGAATAAGGAAGACCACAGAAGAATTTATGCATTTGAGTTATGGTGTTGGAGAAGAATACTGAAAATACTATGGATTGCCAGAAGAACAAACACATCTGTGTGGAGAGAAGTACAACCAGAGTGCTCCTTAGAAACTAGGATGACTAGACTTCATCCTTCATACTTAGGACATACTGTCAGGAGGGACCAGTCCCTGGAGAAAGATATTATGTTTGGTCAGTGAAAAAGAGGAAGACCTGCAATGAATGGATTGGCACAGTGGCAGCATCAAAATGCTCAAACATAGTAATAACTCTGAGGATGGTACAGGATTGTCAATGTTTCCTTCTATTGTTCATAGAGTTGCTATGAAGTAGGTACCAGCTCAATGGCACCTAACAACTACAGCTATAATAATAAACTACTCTGATTTTCATGTAATATTTTAGTTGTGAATATTACATGTTTTTAAGAAGCCCTGGTAATGTAGTGGATTATGAGCTGGGCTGCTAGCCACAAAGTCAGCAGTTCTAATCTACCAGTCACTCCGTAGGAGAAAGAGGAGGCTTTCTGCTCCTGTAAAGATTTGCAGCCTCAGAAACCCTATACAGAGTTGCTATGAGGCAGAATTAACTCAATGGCATAAAATCACCACTGCTACTACCATTACATGATTTTTATCTATTTTACCTTTCCTTATTCCAAAATAAGATTTGAGATGGCCTGGAGAGAATAAGGTTATGCACTGATCTTTTCTCTTTAGTCTTCTTCTATCTAGTTCCATCATGTCCCTGTGTATGCAAGAATACACAAGAGTAAAAGGGTATACCCTCTTGGTATACCCAAGAGAAATGTTTAATTCTGTAAACTACTGGAAGATAACTTTGAAATTAAAAAAAAAAAAAAAGCCTTAATTCTAAAGTCAATATGAGCCATCATATCCATAAAAAGATACCAAGTCAGTGTCTAGAGTAGCAGTGTGTTCCGTTCTTAGCATAAAATAGCAAGTCAGGCATAATAGCAAAGCTATTAATGTTAGTTAGGAGAATGATATGGGTAAAAGAACAGCCAGTGCTTCCTTTCTGTAAAAACACCTCGGCACTAATCTCAACCTCAAATCACTGTTGTGGGTATCTACTGCAGCTATCACTCAATCAATGTATCTACCAATCAATCAATCAACCACAGTCTCTTTAACATTTATAGGGTAATAAACACTGTGGTAAACATTTCTATATAACGTGTCTATTGTATTTCTCCCAGCAACCTTAAATTATTTTATCATCATCATCATAATCAGTATTATTATAATTATATTTGTATTATTCCAGAGAATCAAATGGCATGCCTAAGTTCATATCTACCGGTAGTGGCAAAGCTAGCTAGACCAGATTTTTTCCAGAAAAGAAATACACGTTATTTTTCTAAATGGCATGCTATCACTGCTGTCCTCCAAATCAAGGTGTTGAGAAATATTTATTTCACTGAATTCAATATTAAGAGAAGACTTTAACCTTAGCTAAATGAATATAAAAATCATAGTAAATTTAGAGTGACTGAGAGATAGCATTATTTATTTAAATCTGGTGCCTTATTATGGGCAGAGGTAATAAATTCTCAGCACATTGCCATATAGGCATGGTGCACTGTCTGAATTCTTAGCACCATAAGAATCAGTGTGCCTGGTTCAAGAAACCTTGTTTGATGCTTCAAAACAAGTCCAGACTAATTATTTATTGGCATTTTGAACCAGCTTTATGGATAACTGCTCTGTGAACTAACACCTGTGTCTGGAAAACAAACACATGCCCCTATTATTGCCCCTAACTTTTCTCAGTGTTTAACAAAGTCATCCTTGGCACTCCTCTCATCTACTCCCATGCCATGCTGAGACCTCTTTGTACTTCGTGTCACTTAAAGTGGACACCAATCACAATCAACATTCACTGAATATCTCTCAACCTTCTTCTCTTAGGCATTCAGACCTGGGAGCAGTTGAAGATAAATGTGACAAGGGACAGCTCAACAATGTCTACATTATGATTAAGAGAAGGAGGAGGGAGGCTCTGAACTCTGTTTACAAAACATCCTTCATCATCCAGATTCAAGAGTGGAGATCTTCTCCACCCATCACCAAAACTTAGTTGTTTCTGTGGGTTTTCAACATTGCAATTGTTGTAGCCTACTTTGTAACTGTCCACTTTAGGATGCCAACTGATGCTAGTCATCAAACCAAGTTGGTTTGTTTTTTTCATGACTCACTTGTTCCTGGTCAGAAGTTTATCTCCTGGATAAATTTCAAAATTGCATTTTTTTTAATGCATCTCTTCATAACCACCATTGTCCCCTCCTCCATCTCTTCATAATTTTGCCTCATAATCTCTAATGGAAACACAGAAATTGTATTTTGTTGTTATTATTTGTTTTTATTTTTCTCTTGTTGGTAAGACTTTCTATAAAAACAAAAAATAAGATATAGTCTTTTCTCTATTCAAGGAGTTCTTCCAGGAAACTTTTGAAAATCAAGATGAAAGTAGCAAAATAAAATTCACAAAGTTACCTGGGATAAATATATGAAATCTTATATATTTTTATTTTTATTTTCCAAAGAATTCCTCTAGTGCCCCGAATATCCATTTCTCCAGAAACACCTATGTCCAAACCGAAATTAAAAACAATACTCAAGGGCAAGATGGATTCCTCGCTAGAAACTATAGAGTTAAACTTTGAGGCAGATGAGAAGTTGGTAATGGACACCTGGCAGCAGGCTTCCTCAGCAATATCTACCATGGTAAGCAGAATTTATTCTTACATTTCCTTTTAGTGATACCCAATCATTAAATTCCAAGATTAGCTCTTGTTGTTATTAAGTGCTGTTGAGTCACTTCTGACTGATAGAAACCTCTATAGAGTTCCCAAGGTACAGATGTGAGTGGTGGGTTTAAACTGCCAGCCTTGCAGTTAGCAGTCCAGTGCTTATCCTATAGCACTACCCAAAGACAGTACACTATAAATAGAAACTTTATACAATGTCTTTGTTGATATTGTTGTTAAGTGCTGTTGAGTTGGTTTCAACTCACTGTGACCCTTTACAGGAACAGTTGATGGATTTGAACTGGTGATCTTGTGGTTCACAGCCTGGTGTTGATTAGGCATTATATAAATATGTCCCTACAAAATATTATTTTCTGATAGAAACTATTCAATCAACAAAACTTGATTTCAAGAAAGGAGTGAGCCAACACTTAGATTATTTTCTATACTAGGCCTGGATTCAAAGTTGTTGTTGTTGTTAAGTGCCGTCGAGTCAGTTCCGACCCATAGCGACCCTGTACAGGGTTTCCGAGGGTAGGGGCCTAAAAACCATACACAGAACGTGAACAAGGTTGAACAAGTGTAAAACAATGGAGAGCGGTGGGATGGTGGCCAAGTGGAGTCACATCCCTGTTTAAAGGGACAAATCTTACTCCACCTTAGCCAACTTTGCCATTTAAGAATGAAGCCCCATGTGGCCAGATTTTCCAGTTTTCCTAAGAAAAGCCATAAATCCAGATTTTTTTTTGCTATATATTTTTTCCTTTTTTATGTTTTATGATTTTTTTTTGAACTTTTTATTGTGAATTAGGTGCGGATCATCAGTTTTGCATTTGACAATTCATACTTTTTCTTTTACCTCAATGGTTATAATTCCCTCTGTGTAACATCATTTATCCTACTTTCTTCCTGGGTTTCTTGTTTTCATTCCTCCTTCCTTCCTACCTCTTCTGAACTTTGTCCTTAGGTAAATGCTGCCCTTTTGATCACAAGTTGATTATTCTAAGGTGCACGTACTTCGCATGCAACCTCCTGATTTTAGACTGTTTACAATGAAAACAATTTTTAAAAAGCATTGTACAGAGCCAAGCAAAGGATCCATGAGGCCTCTTATTTGCATCATCTCTGCTAGACATGTTATTTAAACCAACTGTTGTTGTTTGTGTTAAGTGCCGTCAAGTTGGTTCTGACTTATAGTGACCCCGTATAGGGTTTCTGAGGATCGGCTGGTGAGTTTGAACTGCCAACCTTGCAGTCTGGTGCACTATCCTGCAACGCCACACCAGGACTCCATAAACCAAATAGGAGGTAAATATTAGTGTCCTCTTAACAGTGGACAAACTAAGGTTCAGCTCTGTTAAGAAATTTGCCCAAGATAATAGAGCAGAAAATGTCAGAAATGGGATTTGAACCCAGGTCAAAAAGACTTCAAAGTTCATGCCTTTTCTACTTACTGCATGCTCTTTGAATGGTAAAAAGATAGCAGTCCCTGCCAGTAAGGAGCTTGAATTTAATTCAAACGGAAAGCAAAAGTATTCACACCATTCAGGAGACACAGAGTTTAATTTGGATGATCACAATTCATCCGCCGGAGGCTGAGCTCACCTACAAGGCTTCTGTTTTCGTTCTGTAACAAAGCTTTTCTGAGGTTATGCAAACACACAATTAAAACACAAACTGTATCAACTTTCCAAAGAGTTATGTAGAAGAGGTAGGAGGAGTCTGCATCACAGATCTCATAGCAAATAATTAAAATGTCTACTTCGGCATTTTCGGTGTCTGTTCTGGCCACTCAGCCTCCAGGGTCTTTGTATATACAGTCTTCTCACATTACAGCCATGCTTTATCCGTCTCTCTCCCCCTCTTTTTTTATTATCCTCACCTTTTCTTTCCTTCCTCTCAGAAGTAGCTTTAGACTTCTTTCTTTAATATTTATAAGTCTTAATAATTCTCTTTAAAATTGCCTAAGGAAAAAAGGACATTTTAAAATATCACGTTATTAGTAAGACTGTCAGACCACGAAAAGATTACTGGAAGCCCCTCATAATTCAGCTGTGTGACTTTAGACAAATCACTTGCTGTTGTTGTTATTGTTGTTAGGTGCCATCAAGTCAGTTTTGACTCATAGCAACTCTTTGTACAACAAAATGAGACACTGCCCGGTCATGCACAACCCTTGTTTTTCTGGTTTTGTTTTTCTGCTTCAACCCGTTACTGCTTCCAGTGTGTTAATCCATCTTGTTGGGGGTCTTCCTCTTTTTTCCAGACTCTCTACTTTATCACACATAATGTCTTTCTCCAGGGACTGGTCACTCCTGATAACATGCCTGAATTATGAGAGGTGAATAATCAGCATCATGGCTTCTAAAGAGCATTCTGATTGTACTTCCAATGCAAATGTGTTTGTTCTTCTAGCAGTTTATGTTACTTTTAACATTCTCCACATCATGACTCAAATGCATCAATTCTCCTAGGGTCTTCCTTATTCATTGTCCATGGCTTTAGTCAGGCACACCTTAGTCCTCAAAGTGAGAGTTTAAAATGGTCTTACACAGCAGATTTGCTTAATGTAATATGTCATTTGCTTTCTTGACTGTTGCCTCCCTGAATGTTGTCCCAAGCAAAATGAAGTCATTGACAACTTCAATCTTTTCTCCATTCTGTTCTTGATGTTAAATACCTTTGCATCCATTCCAATTCAATACGACCTTGTATAGGATTTCCAAGGAGTGACTGTTGGGTTTGAACTAGCAACCTTGTGGTTAGCAATCCAGTGCTTATCATATATCACCACACTAGGACTCCTTTCTCCATTTACCATGATGTTGTTTATAAATCCTGTTGTGAGTTATTTTTGTTTAATCTATATTGGCATGCAATCTATACTGAAGGCTATGGTCTTTGTTCTTCATCAATAAATATTTTAACTCCTCTTCACTTTCAGCTAGCAAGGTCATATAATCTGCATATCACAGGTTTTTAATGAGTCTTCTTCTAATTATGATGCCCCATTTTTCTTCATATAATCCAGGTTCTCCAATTATTTATTTATTTACAAATTTAATAAGTGTGGGGAAAGGATACAACCCTGGCACATACCTTTACTGATTTTAAATTATTCAGTATCCCCTTATTCTGTTTGAGAGAATGCCTCTTGGTCTATGTTCAGATTCCTCATGAGCATGATTAAGTGCTTTGCAATACCCATTCTTCACAATATTGTCCATAGATTGTCATGATCCACCAGTCAAAAGCCTTTAAATAGTCAATAACACATAAGTAAACATTCCCCTGGTATTCTTGGCTTTCAGCCAAAATTCACCTGACATCAGCCATAACGTCTCTCAATCTACATCCTTTTCTGAATTGGGCTTGAATTCCTGGCAGTTTCCTGTGGATGTATGGTTGCAGCTGTTTTTTTTTAATAATCTTCAGCAAAATTTTACTTGTATGTGATATTCCTGATACTGTTCAATGATTTTTGCATTCCATTAGGTCACCTTTCTGGAATGAGCACAAATATGGACGTCTTCGAATTAGTGGTCAGGTAACTGCCTTCCAAATGTCTTAGCATAGATGAGTGAGCACCTCTAATGCATCAGTTTGTTGAAAGATTTCGATTTGGATCCCATCAATGTCTGGAGCTTTGTTTTTTCACCAGTGCCTTCAGTACAGCTTAGACTTCTTCCTTCAGTATCACTGGCTCTTGATCATATGCTACCTTTTGAAATAGTTGAACACCGACCATTTCTTTTTGGTGCATTCTTTCCATCTTCTTTTGATGTTTCCAGTGTCAGTCAATATTTTATCCATAGAATCCTTCAGTATTTCAAGTCAAGGCTTGAATTTTTTCCTCAGTTCTCTCAGCTTGAAAAATTCTGAGTGTATTCTTCCCTTTTGGTTTTATAACTCCAAGTCTTTGCACTTTTTATTGTAATGACTTGTCTTCTCTATGTACCCTTTATAACTTTCTGTCCAGCTCTTTCATTTCATTTCTGTCAGTTACCTTAGCTTCTCTACATTCAAGGGCAAGTTTCTAACTCTCTTCTGACATGTATTCTGGTCTTTTCTTTCATTTCTGTCATTTAATGGCCTTTTGCATTCTTTCTGTATGATGTTCTTTATCTTACAACTCTTCTGGTCTTTGGTGTTTAGTGTCTAGTACATCAAATCTATTCTTGATATGGTCTCTAAATTCAGGTGAGATATGTTCAGATCATATTTTGGCCTTCATGGACTTGTTTTTATTTTCTTCAGCTTCGGCCTGAACTTGCATATGAGCAATTGATTGTTCTAAAGTGTGAACTTGGCCTTGTTTTGGCTGATGATATTGAGCGTTTCCACTATCTCTTCCCACAAATGTCGTCAGTTTGATTCATGTGTATTCCATTTTGTGAGGGCCATGTATATAGTTGACCTTTATGTTGTTTTAAAATATATTTTCAATGACAAAGTTATTGGCCTTACAAAATTTTATCATGCAATTTCTAGCATCATTTCTATCACCAAGGCATATTTTACAACTACTGATCCACCCTCTTTGCTTTGAGTGTTCACATTCCAATCACTAGTAATTATCAAAGCATCTTGATTGCATATTTGATCAATTTCAGACTGAAGAAGCTGATAGAATTTTTTAATTTTATCATCACTGACTTTAGTGAAAGGTCCATAAATTTGAATAATGGTATTAACTGCTCTTTCTTGTGGCTATATTGATACTATCCTATCACAGACAGCTTGTAATTCAAGATAGATCTTGAAATGTTCTTTTTGAAGATGAATGTGACATCATCCTTCTCAATTTTTCATTCCCAGTATAGTAAATCCCATAACTTCCACATTTAAAATGGTCAATACCAGTACATTTCAGCTCACTAGTAACTAGATACATTTTTAAAAGATGTTTACCTGTGCTTTATTGACTATGCAAAGGCTTTCGATTGTGTGGACACCCTGACAAGCCTGGACAACATT